ACAAAACATGAATAGCAAAGGTCTTTGGCAAAAGACCAAAGATAAAAGAATCATAGATTTTCTTTGTGAGGCATAACACGTAGCCAAAATTACTACATTAGTTACAACATAATACTGCATTAGTTTTGTCTAATAGAGCATTAACACAATCCTGGTAGCACTGAATGATTGACCTGACATGCTACTGGACAGACTGCTTGGGGATGTACCGTAACTCTTCCTGTGCAGCTGAAGCCAGCTGGTGGGCTCGGTTGTGGTTGCTGGAGTTTCTCATGATGTGCCCACTGCAGTGTGAAAATGATTAAGTACTGTAGATGGATCCGAATGATCTCAGGGTCCTGGGCCAGTGTGGTAATTTTAAGCCCTATGATATGGGCTGTCCCTCACAGAACTGGATTCACGATATCTCTAGCTTAGTCAGCTCATTGTCACTTGTTTTTTTTTCCTTGTCTTGATTGTAATGCATCAAAAATTTCCCAATAAAAACAAATGAGGTCCAACCATCACATTGTCCAAGTCCAAACCTTTACGTTCAAAGAAAGCTTCTTTTCCACAGCCACAAGACTCCAAAACTGCACCTCTTAAATCCTCCTACCCCCAACTACGCCCCACTGTTTATTTGCACTGAACTCACAACCCATCACTGCTTGGATTTTGAACACCATCTGAATGCTGCCAAAGTTCCCATATTCCTGTCTTCAACAACTCGTGATGTCATTTTTATGTCATTTATGTATTTCATTGTACTCAGGTACACGTCAGTAAACATGAACATGAACCACTTTGAAACAGATCAGAAGTTCAACAAAATGTGAAAGAACGAACAGAAAATTCGTTCAGTACATGTATGTACTGCTTGGAATGTTTTATGAGGAGAACTGTGAACTGTTTATGAACATGAATATGAACTGTTCAAGCCACATCAACCTTGCATGGGAATTTCTTCCATTACCAGTGGAGACCACATAAGTGATGGGTATCAGGGTATTCAATCAATAGCATGCAATCAGAGAGATAGAGATGAGGAGAGATGTTGCATATGCACAAAAGGAATGCTCTTCCATTTAATCAGCAGAGTAACTGCCAGATCAATGCCACACCTGGCTCATCCTAAGGAACCTCAGTGATATTAAGAACAGATGAACACATCTAATAGTATTTATAAAATGCTATTTCATGGGTTTAATATCAGGGAGCTGTACAAAAGTTATACAAAAAATGCCTGATCCTGATCCCAGGCTGAAGCAGGAAGTCTTGAAAGACCCTTGTTTTGTAAGGATAAGCCTTATCATATCAAAAGATGAAGGGATTACATTGCATTTGGTGTGGTACTTGAAACAGGTGGATCACCGTTCTTAAAATATCAAAATATTACTATGAAATGACATGATCATTGACAACAACAAGCAGACCCATTACATAAATGCCACCAAAATTGAATTTCCTTGACCTGACGTGAGCTAACTTTTTTTGTTTCCACATATGTGCACACTGTGCCATCACTAAATGAGCAGGAAAAAAAACCCTGAAAAACCTGCAGCTCTGGGAAATCAAGCCACAGTGTTGCTAACAGTGCCTGCATCAGATAGTAACAGCTACGAGTCATCTGTATCTGATGACGTAATTAGGCTAATTGGTTTTCCATGATGTAACTGTCTTAACTGTCAACTGGCTTCAGCATTGCAGAGAAGAAGTGATCCATCAGGTGGTCCCAACTAAGTCATTACATGTGGTTTGGCCCAGTATTGTTCAATCACAGGTGCTTGCTGTCATTCTTAGCACTACTTAAGTCTTGTAAAAGGGTACATCAGACAGTGGCACCCTTACAACTTCATGCTATACAATTTCTCCCAACAACAGTCCATTCTCTTTCACTTTTTATGCCACCTACACATCAACATCTCACGCCCATATTCACTTTAGTAGGCATGTAATGTGTTACTTGAGAAAAATACTGCCTCTGAATTCAGCTTCTTTAACTTCAGCAAACAATGGTGTAGCTTTTATGAACTAACTTTAAAAAACATATAAAAAGTTCTAGCCAACAAAAAACAGTTTAAAACAATAATTTAAATGTTACAACAATCAAAATGAATTACGTCAGCCAATATTGAATTTAATTGAGTGTATTTATACATTCAGACAGTTCATATAAAGTATTAGGTTATAATTGCTGACACAAAAACAACACAGTTTTAGAAATACCCTGCAAGAACTTTCACTGGAAGAAAAAACTCAAAGTTGATCTTACTTTCGATATCACTCTCTTTTATAAGGTTCCAGACTAATCTAATTCCTCTGGGCGTGACATTTCACAATTTCCAGAAAGGAAAATAGCACATCTAGTAATACTTATAACTACTAAAGTACACTTAGTCTGAAAATAGAAAGAATAGGTCCTTTCAGTTTTCTTTTTTAAAGGGGGCCTAAATGCTTGCTTCACAGAAATTCCCTTGTGTACCATGACTCAACCAAATAGAAATACAAAGAAAGTAGCTGGTGAATGGTTAAAACCATATGCCAACTCCTGACCAAGGGACTAGCATTTAAAAGCAATCAGCTAACTGCAGCATGTCTGCTTGGTCTTTAAGGTTATTGCAATTATTGTGTAGAACTACATGTTAGAAAGAACAAAAGACCCTTTTACATACAACTTATTACAATAATTAGCTAACGTCAGCCAGAAGATTTATTCCATTTGCTCAATATAAAATAACACAAGCATAAAAATGCTATAAAAAAACAGAAGAATTTGCAACATTCCTTGCAACCATTCTGTTCTGATAGCACTAATCAATGTACAGTATCAATGCCTACTATATTTTGTATTAAGTTAGTTTTCATTTGTCATTCCTAAATGTACTATTCACCTTGTCTTGTGCATTAATAAATCAAAAGAAAAGTAATGAGGAAAATGTTTGTTAAGCACAATTAACTAATTTTCAGTATAACTGCATGCTTAGCAGAACCACTGATATCAAAGATTTTTTTTTCAGATACAGGCCTCACGGTAACCCCAAATCCTCAATGCTAATTACTGGTTTAGTAAATGTAAAAGCTGGTGAATTAGTAAATATGAAGGATCAAGGGGCTTAGTTTAGAGATAATTATCATCTGTGTTATTCAGGGGACTGTTTGGTACAGATTCTACATTTGGCCATTACAATGACAAAACAGAAGAATAACAAAGCACTGCAGAAGAAACTTCCTTCCTGAAATGTTTGGCAGAGCATCAGGAAAATAAAAGGACTATAGAAAAGGAGAAAAAAAGGATTATCCGTAGACATTCTTCTGTAATCAGGTTCACAGTAATTTTAACACTTCATGAAAAAGACAATGCAAATTGTACTAGAACCAGTGATGAACATGGGTCTGTTTCAGAAACAGCAATCATTCAGAATCATTATCCCTTTTTAACATTGTCTGAAGTGATGCAGGAAGTGAAAAAATAGTCTTTTCCCAGTGTTACAGCAAAACTAAAATCCAATCCAATAATTAGGTAATAACTGGGTAAGCTAAACATTTCATATAATGCCCTACAATATTTCACCACAGCTCTTCTCCATCATGTGCAAGATGACTTTGCAAACTGCTCGTAATATGTAATAACATTAATGTACAACGAAACTATCTTAATATGAAGTCCTGGATCAAAGAAACTTAAATTACCAAGTGTTTCCTTGGGGGTTACTGAATCTGAAGTGCACCATGAGCACAGATAGCTAATAAAATTTATATTCCCAAGGAACCTGTCATGTTAAATACCAGTTCATTAGCATGGGGGTATTTTTAGATTTCTTACTTTAATGAGTAAGTATTCCTCTGTTACAACTGTCTGCAAAGTCAAATTGCTCATGTATTACATTCATAATGTTTTAATGTATTGTATGTAACAAATCTGAATGTACACTTCACTTTAACTTCACTGATACAATATGTAATCCTATGGTAACATTTTAACACATTTTGCGATTGACTACTGTTATATTTATATTTGTTAATTCTGATGGAACCATTTACTAAAATATTCCTTGTTTGTTTCCTAATATGAAACAGTTTTATTTTTGTCAGTTGGCTGTGAACAGATAGACCGTAACTGAAAGCCACAAGCCTAACAACAAATACATTAAATGAAACTGCATCTGTAAAGAAATCAAAACAGTAATCCAGCGAATGGTCTTAATTTTACTGAATTTGAAACATTTCTGAATAGATGGTTTTCGTTTAATTACTTTCTTGACCTATTTTTTTAAATCCAGCCTTTGAGATTTTACTAAATTAAACGATAAGGTACTTCATTAACATTTATATTCCAAAGTTTTAATAAAGTCGTTTTAATAAGACAGGGACAACTCTCATACATTATCATTGTAACTATCACTTTTTACAAGTACCACAATACTTATTTTCCTTTATTAACTACCCAATGCATATAGTTTATAGCAAACAACGAGTGAAAACTAAATTAAACCAGGAGGTTTAGGTAAATCGGATAATCAATTGGCGAGACGTACCATACCTAAAATATCCGATTTGCTTTTTATCCCTCGGGAGAAAAACCATTTTTCATGCAACTGCTGCTAAAACCCGCCTATACTTCACAATTTAGTCACATTGCGATCTCTAACCCAGTTTAAAATGTGTCAGGCAAAAGCACGCTTAATAGTTAATTACATAACTTACAAAGGTGAAGTCGATGTCCTATATTAAACACAGATCGTAAAAGCTGTGATCGTAAAAAATATTTGATAGAACACAAATATTAAATACTTTACTACCATACTGGTTGACCTTATCATGAAAAGTATGCCGCTTCAAATAATATTCAGCTACTGCAGTATATAAAAATCAAGCTATATCTTTCTAAATGAAAATGTTCAGAACTCATAGTTCAGATACACGTAATTCCAGGTCGTTTGAGAAAATGTATGTTAGGCATGCTTTTAAAATACCGGCAAAGAAAAAAAGCCAGAATAAATAGCATTGTAAAAGCCACATACGTCTCTAAATTTATCCCAACGTCCAGTGAGCCATTTATCATCCAGAAAATTGGCGGTGTCCGACCTGGCTGCTGCCCCGACAACCTGACTGCAGGCTACGGCACAAATACACAACAAAGCTGTGCTCAGCATCTGCAACACAGAGAAAACAAAAGACGTGTCAGAACCCAAATGTCTCTTTCTATAACCTAATGCATGAATGGTTAAATTATACAGATAGATATCATTGCGCTGTTCTGGTAATTAAATGTAATTAGGGCAGACAACATCACCTTGTAAGTAATCTCAGTGGTGTTGCACGTAGCGGAGCGTTCTATCGCCTTTCTGTCGTTATCTGAGCTCTTACTGCTTCTGCTTCAGTAGTGCTACCCTCCTTGCTTTCCTGTCCTCACTCTCCGCACTGAGCGCAATCCCGCAATCGCGGACGCGCGCCACACCCCCCCCCTGCTCTTCACTCCAAGCACTGGGAGAGAGAGAATGAGAGAAAGAATGAGGACAACGTTCAGAATTTTTTTTTTCTCTCGAAAATTAAACCTTGCATGGCGATTACACAGTTTTACATGTCTTGCTGCGATGATTATTGTGTGCTTCTCTTCACGGGTTATTGTATTGTAATAGTGTTTCCAGTTTCCATAAAAAATGCAGAAGTGCGAAGACAAGCACCTTTTGATCTTTCACAACAATTTCATAGAAATAAGTCCAGCAGATTGAACTGTATTTGCCTAAATGTTTAAAACAAATGGAGTACTGTAAGTACTGTAGCATGGTGCGCCTGTATGATGATGATGATGATGAAAATGCTGTGTAATTTGCATGAATGAAAAGATGTTTATGGTTGTGGAACTTTAAACGGGGAAATGTATATGGAAGGTCTCAAGTTAGATTTGCCTCTGGCAATCTCTGAAATTGGTTCAATATGGAAGATAAGTATTTGCAGGTTGTGGGACCAAAGCAGCTTGAAGACCAGCTCCATATGGCGTATAAAGTATCTGAATTCTATGGGTGTACTTTTCTAGATTAATGCTGATCAGGTACTGCTGTTATTATGACTGTTCCCTGACTTCAGATTGTGACTGGGATTAAATCAGTCATTGTGCTGCTGCAGCCATTACACAGTATAACAACTGAATAACCAGTCCAAATATTCTAGATTATTGTAGGATACAGTATATACGGTATGAAATGTGGCATTTTTATTAGCATTTTCGAACTAATCAGAAAGTACGATTTTATCATTTATAAAGAATATTCTATGAATTAAAGACCAATGAGAGACAACTTTTGGGTCTTTTGATACTCTGCCATTTTTTAAACATGTTAATTTCAATTTATTGTTTATATTACAAGTTAAAAGATTTTAATGAAGATTTAACAAGACTGCAGAAGAATTATTTCTTTTTCAAGATATACAATCCTAGTAAAAGTTTTTAATATGCAGTCTTAAACACTATCCTTTTGCAGAGTAGGGTAATAATTATTAAATGTATGCATAAATATATATTGTATATTTTTGTGTTTAGAGTACATACAATTAAATTTGTTTCCCCAGACTCAATACCCAAGTATTTTATTTAAATATACATTTTCTGTTACTGGTATTTACAAATAAAAATGACACATTATATTAAATTCAAAGTATAAGTTCCATTCTTTATCAGTATTTTTTTTTATATACAGTACATGAATATTTTATCAGTTCAAGAGGTTTTATTGGGTAGACCAAAAGCTACTGTATCTATTGTACATTAGGATGAAGTTCTGAAATTAACCCAGTGACAGACATTTGGCTTTTATATTGTATAAATAGCACCAGACATTTTATATTTTCAAGAATGTTTAGGTATCAGGTTAAGAACCAGTGACATGGACTCATTAATTATTAATACAGCAAGTTGCTATTCTTTCAGTGATGCTGATGTGTTTGTACACATGAAGAACATATTAGAGCATTGACACATGAACTTTGCTAGACAACAAAGAGCAATTTAAAAACCGGCGCTTTCACAAATATAAGGCATTTAAACCTACCAGAAAATGATTTTGAAAGTTGATTAGTCACATCCTTAACTATGAAATGCATTGTCTCCAGTTGTAGAATAATTAGGTGTGAACTTACCTATAAAACATTTTAACTTACCTGTAAAACAAAATATTAAAAATCATCTTAAGCTTTGAAAGGATACTTTTCTCAAAACAGTAGTACTGTATGAGAAAATTTGGGCTCTTTGGTTTAAGGAATTAAGGGACTTTGGCGCCCCCTTGTGTTTGATACTTCTTCTTCTTCTTCTTTTTCACAGCCTTAGTCCCAGACTGTCCTGGGGTCAGCTGCTTTGGTTGCTCTTCTCCATTTGTCTCTGTCGAGCACATCTTCCTCACTCACTTCACATATCTCCATATCTTTTCTCACACAATCTATCCATCTCTTTCTAGGCCTGCCTCTTCCTCTGTTACCTTCCACCTCAAATTCCATTACCCTCTTTGTTACTTCCTCAACGTCCCTCCTCATGATATGTCCATACCACCGTAACCTCGCCTCTCGCATCTTCTCAACCACATCCACCACCCTACATCGTCTACGGATTTTTTCATTTCTGATCTTATCCTTCATTGAAATCTGCAGAATCCATCTCAACATCCTCATTTCAGTTCTTCTCATCAAGTTCTCTTCCCTCTTTCCAACTGCCAAGCATTCAGCTCCATATAGTAGTACAGTATTCACAGTCTTGTACATTTTGCACTTTAAACTTTCTGGGAATTTTCCTGTCACAGATTATTCCAGTTATTTCTCTCCACTTGTTCCATCCAGCTTTCACTCTTTGTTTTACTGCCTCCAGTGTTTCTCAGTGTTTGATACTATAGCATGAAATCTATCTATTGGTCTTACATCAATACTTAACCTGTAATGGTATTTTGTAGTACACTGTAGTTTGCCTACACTTTTCCTGTTAAATAACAGTTTAATAGCATAATATTCTTTAACAGAAGTATTATTGAGAATGTTAGGAAAAGATCTGCATTTTATTGTGACCTTTGATATGTTTACCTTAGAACAGGGACTCTTAACAGGGATTTATCAATGTATAATATACTGTATAAACTCAGATATTAATTATAAATTGCATTTTTATAGAAGATTTCTTCAATTTGAGAGACAACAACAGTAAAGAATTCAATAATGGTTTGATGGTTCAGTACTCTGGTATGAATAAAGCTGACAGGACATCTTTCACAGTTCCTGGAAGCAATTTAGAAGTCAACATGGTGTAGAAGGCAGAAGAACTTGTGGAGTTTCTTTCTTCTCCAGGGAAGAGAATCCAAAGTTGTTTTCCAGCATAGAAAGTGTTCCATCAAGTCATATCACACCAAGGTGTTCTTTCCAGTCAAGCCCTTGTTTGGCAAAAATAAAATTCTTTGTCCATTTTTAGCCATGTCTGAATCCTTCATGGTTGTTAGAAAAGGCTTGCAAAACAGAAATCCTTCTATTAATTAATTGATTCCTTATACTCACATAGCGCTTTTCTAGATGCTCCACTCAAAGCACTTTACAGGTAACGGGAACTGCAGCCAGGGTGAGCCAGTTGTCATGGATTTTGGAAGGGCAAGCCGTGGAATGGCCAGGAGATCAGTAAAGACCCTACGCGTAGCGGTAAAAGGAGCAACGTGGGGGTTGCTCAGGGGGCTCAGGCTCAGGGGGTCAGACGATGTCGGTATAGAAACCTATGCCTTCAGGTAACGGACGTGGGGCAACTCGGTACTAGGCTGGTCTCAGGACATCCGTACCCTCAATGCTGAGCGAGGAGCAGAGCAGACACAGGAAGTAAATAGGCTACAAAACCAGACACACTGGAAAGACATGAATAATCACGAGGAACTAGGAACTGGACAGAAGTAGATCGCCCCCTATAGGTGTACAGGGCATGACACCAGTATGCTTATGATACATCAGCTCTCAGTGGGGAGAAGAACAGAGTGATGAAGCCCATTCATACTGTAGATGGTAACAGTGTCCACATACCATATAATAATAATAATAATAATAATAATAATAATAATAATAATAATAATAATAATAATTGCTTACACTTATATAGCGCTTTTCTGGACACTACACTCAAAGCGCTTTACAGGTAATGGGGACTCCCCTCCACCACCACCAATGTGCAGCATCCACCTGGATGATGCAACGGCAGCCATAGTGCGCCAGAGCGCTCACTGTCAGCTATCAGTGGGGAAGAGAGCAGAGTAATGAAGCCAATTCATAGATAGGGGTTATTAGGAGGCCATGATTGGTAAGGGCAACTGGGAAATTTGGCCAGGACACCGGGGTTACACCCCTACTCTTTTCAAAAAACGCCCTGGGATTTTTAATGACCACAGAGAGTCAGGACCTCGGTTTTACGTCTCATCCGAAGGACGGCGCCTGTTTACAGTATAGTGTCCCCGTCACTATACTGGGGCATTAGGACCCACATAGACCACAGGGTGAGTGCCCCCTAACACCGTTAGCTGCTCATATAAAAACGAGCAGCTGACTGCACTGTGACACATCAGTATTCTCTCTTATAACCTATTTCAGAGCATTCAAAGACATGTTGGCTAAACCAGAATGAATGACATCGTTCGAGAAAGGAACTTTCTCGATCTTCTTTCGATGATTTCTACAACATACTGTACGAGCGCAACCATTTCTGTTGCACGAGGCTTGACAACATCTTCTCCAATAGTTTGTAGTTCCTTATACAGATTTTGCAATCTTTGCAACTTAGCAAGATGCTTCTAGACATGTTTCATACTTTGTTGCAAATCCACATTTTCCAGGGTGAACAGGAGAAAGCACTGATGGTTTCATGTTGACACTGCAAAAAATTTCCCCACATAAGTAGCACTGAGGCCTCTGTATGCCATGATGACCTGAAGTGAATGTGAAGCCAAAACATACAGTACAGTATGTGCTGTGTGAGTCGTCAAAATGCCCTTTCTTTTACATCAGCAAATCTTTTAAACCTAGGTGATGCAAAGGTCTTCATGATCATTTCAAGTTTCATTTAGAACATTATGGTTAAATTTTGTTCAATTAATTTATTATTAGTTAAATAACAGATCGTAGATATTACCAATATAAAGAGAAATATTTATATAATGGGTGGGCAATCTATGTTTTTTAAATATACTTGATTCCCACACCCCTTGGCCTCCCCTTTGCACACCAGCTTAAAAACCCCTTCCTTGAGAGATAATGCAGTATCTAAGATGTACATCCAAACTTGCTTTCTGTGCTGCAATGTTTACTGAAATGTACATGCCTTAATATTGCTGCATTTATGATGTTCTGCATCAGAAAAAGAAAACAAGTGATTAAACGGAAGCCATTGGTACACTTCATTAGTAGCATCCATCTGTGGTA